ATATTACTTTGACCAATTATAGAGTTAGTATTGATCAGTAGGTTGCCTGCTGCACTGCCATTTCCTCTCTTCCTGATGTGACCTTCCATCAGGCACTGTCTCAGCTGGTTAGATCTTTGTGTTGCCAGGTTGGTGACGCTGGCTCTAGCCCACTGGGGATGCCCCTGCTGTGCGTGTGGAATAGCACACCCATCATACGTCTCCCTGCATCATTGGCACAGACAACATCCACCATTATTGCTACTACAGCCCACTCATAAACACTCGCCCTCCCACAGTCATCCCAGAGGGAGGCTAAAAGAAGCAGCAGAGAAGACAAGGAGAAAGCTAAATTCAAAGTAGTGGAAAATGTTGCCTTTGTTGTTGTCAGTCCATTAGATTCATGCGTGGTTGCTTCTCTTCCTGTCATATGTCGTACGCTGGCTAAATTCTCTGTCTTCAAACTTGGTGTCCTCTGGTATTGACATTCATGGCTACTTTCAAGTTCATGCAAATCCCAGATGTAGAAAGGCTTTGTTTTGTTTGTTTCAAGTGCATTAGCGTTTTAATTCCGGAGCGAGAAAGAAGGCCTCTCCTTCTGCTGCTCTCATAAACACTTCCAATTAGATGAGCAACGTTTCTCTGAGAAACCCTCTGAGTTTTGGGTTATCAGGATGAGCTTCATTACAGCCCTCCCTGAGGAAGAGTACCCACGCTGACATACATCCTTGAGTTGGCCGTGCTTTTGCTCAGCTGTCAATTCCAGTGGTCCACATTAAAACAGTGTTAGTCTATCACAGCTCTCCCCTCTACTGATAATAATAATGTACAGTCGAAGTTAACGCACTTGTGATCCTTGAGACATCTGATATAGCCAAAGTGCATTTAACTCTATATTTTCATAGCATAAGCTATGAATTATATTCCTGTTAAAAATGTTATCTTGCTCTGTCTGAAATATCATATTTTCTCTGTGGCGACTGTTATTCCTACAGAATTTGAAACATTAGACAAATAGCACTTGGCATGGAAAAGGAGACTGGCACTGTTCTAAATACTCATGTGGTCTGCTCATATTTTAGTGCACATCAATTTTATTACAAAGAAACTATATCCTCCAGCTTCAGCCATCAGGCAAAATCGAGCTATTTTCTGCATGAATTTTTTTAAATTGATGCAAGATTGCATCCTTATGCGGGCATGACTAATAATTTCTCTCTTGGAAAGAAGCAACCTTGCAAGAGCTCTGAATCTATATGCATATGAGCTTTATACGTGAGAGAGAGGAGAAGTGGGAGTTTGCATGATGGTAATGCTTATGAGTTTTTTTACCATTGCTGCTGAATCCCTAGATTGTTATTGCTGTGAAATCCTTCTACTGCTTTGGGACTAATTCACTTATTATTTCATAAAGCAGTTCACAAAGTTGGCATAGATCTGCACCAAGTTTGCAAATGCACCAGTATAAGAAATTTTGACCAATAATTATTTTCATGTTTATAATTTTTCAAAAAATCTAGAATTGAACATGATTAAAGTGGAATTAAGCATTAAAAACATTATTAGATATAGTAGAAAATATGTAACGGTATGAAAATTTCTTATCACGATTATAGTGACCAAAATTATCACGGTTATCAGTATTATCATGGTATTGTTAAAATGTGCTGGAGATGTACAAAAAGTACCGACACATTCTATTAGGTATGTAACGGTATGAAAATTTCTTATCACGATTATAGTGACCAAAATTATCACGGTTATCAGTATTATCATGGTATTGTTAAAATGTGCTGGAGATGTACAAAAAGTACCGACACATAAATCACTTCACCAAGTTTTATATTTAAAAATCAACAAAAAACAACTTTTTGTTTGCATAATCACTAAAACAATAACATTTACCAATGATGTT